GGCGCATGCCAGCCATGCTCGGATTGGGGATTACAGATAACCGCCACGTTTTCCCAAACACATTCTCCGTTCCTCGAGGCTATCGTGCATGAAATCTGAACGGCGTGACTCAACCTCACGCAGGGGGCGCGCATCCATCAATGCGTCGTATTCGTTCGTGATTAAAAGTTGGACTGCTTGGCCTCATCCACACTACTCGGCGCCACTTTAGTGTTGAGAAGATAAAACGCGGGCGGTTGTACGCCGCATTCAAGGACATTTAAGGTCTGAGCATTTTCAGCCGGCTAAGAGTTGTACTGACCACTCTGGCATGACAGCATTCAGGTAATGAGCTTCTGGGGGATGATAGAACTTGATGACTTGTTGAAGGGTGTATAATTTGATGTAGTGGTACTTAAAAAGTGCTGCTAATTTTGTGTAGGACAGCGCAGGGGAGCTTTAACTTCATGACATGATTACCGCTCTTACATTTTCTGCTAGAATGAGAGGACATGTTGAGAAAAAAAAAACAACAAAAAAAAAAAAAAAACATGAACAGCTTCACATATTTGCCAAAGTACCGTTCCCACTTTATTTTGGTAAAAGTGGACCTCGGTTTGCTGCCTGAGTGCCCACACCCTCAAGAATCATCACCTAAATGTAGTTGAATGATCAAATAAATGCAGCCGTGAACAAAAAGAAACTGTATTTGAGGCTCACCTGTAATTGAGAGTCGAGGGAATACTTGCAACAGCATCCCGACATGATTGATTTCACGTCAAATTATGATGCACTGCATTGTGGGTGAAATTGGAACTCTGTTAAAGGTCAATGAGTGAACTTGTGAATTACAAGTCGGATGTCAATATTTTGCTTTTCGGAAAGCAGGCAAAAAAAAAAAAAATGTAATCAGATAAGGCCCTCTCTGCAAAAGACACATTATTTCCTCTTTCTAAGCCGAGACAAAAACATCGGCCCCCAGGTTTTACAAGGCTGGGGAACCACAAGGATGCCCAGACGGCGGTCATATGAGGACACGCGGCCACGCTCTGGCCGCGCGGATCGGGTGTTAGGTACCAGTCCGCGGTGAGCGGGGCTAAATGTGAAGTAGCTCGATAAGGGAAGAGCAATCTCCTCCCAGAGGTCCTCGGGTTCAGCTTCAGGACAGTCTTTGAGCACGGCCTCAACCACGGCAAAGTTCTCCGAGCTGGACATGGTGCATGTTGAATAGACCACGATGCCCCCCGGACGCACCGCTGACAGCGCAGAGCTGCGGGGAGAAGATCGACAGCGCACTTCAAGACAAATAGTCTGACAGCAAACTTTTTTTGATAACGTTTTTATCCGACGCTTACCAACCGTAGCGTCACGTACGTCTCGCGGGAGGGCGATACGAGTGACAACAAAGGTTCATTTTCTCTCATTGTGGTTTGTCGCGGTGCGATTGCCACGCATCGGGCTGAGAGCGGTTTTGGAATATTCTCACTCGTGTGGATGAATATTTAAAAAACCCTCAGTATGATGCAGTGCCGCAAAATTCAACTTCAATAATAAACACATTACGTTAAATTATTACCTCTCTGACGTGTTTCTAATTATTTTTATTAACCTCGTGGCCAGTGATTACAATTGAGTGACTCGAATGTGATTTCACTCAGTTACTCAGCCACCCCCCTCACCCAAAAAATAAATAAATAAAACCGTCCTCCTTCCTATGGGATTCCCATGCACACAGGAAAATGATTTGTCATTCGGACCGAAACAAGCCAAGTAGTTGGAAAAGTACAACTCTTGTCTGGGAAATCAAACGTTAGAAGACTCGGGAGACGTCCCCGACTTGCCGTAGAAGTTGGACCTGGAGCCGCGGCAGCCTGCCTCTCTCTTTTAACCTCTGTTCCACCTGCTGGCCAGCAGACGAGAACAGCCAGCTCCTGTCATTGGAGCAAGGAGCGTCAACCAGGACCTGTCACACACACGGCGACATATGCAAGTGAGATGTTGTTCATGCTCTGCTGCTAATCCAGCTTTTCCATTGCTTTGCCCCAAGCCGATCTCCGCTTCCAGACATGAAAACAGATGACACCCAATCGGAACCCACCCAGCGCATTTCTCCTGCGCTTGCTTCCCGCTCCCGCCTCCTTTTTTTTTTTTTTTTTGTTTAAACTCGGATCCGTATCCTCAGTAAATGCAATCGCATGCAACATTTTCATGATACAAGACCTCTGCAATCAATATACCTGTGAAATAGAATATGGTCCAATTCAGGAACCAAAGAAAAATAAAGCAAAGTAGTTTCCGGTGACACTTTTGAGAGAGGTAATCAATTCACAGTTTTTATTACTGTGGTTGTACTTTGTGTGGGTTTAAAAGTGGAGCTTATTGTCTAAGAATGTCTCCTGAGTTCAATACAAAATTAAAATGAAGCTAATTAAGGTTGTGAAAAGATCAGAATACAATAATAATAACACTAATGCTCTCTTTGCATGTTAGGTCTGATCCTCCGTGTGCCGTGGAGCAAAAATATGGAGCCGAGTGAAAATTGAATTCTGAATTGACCTTGACAAGACACATGTTTTTTTTAACCCCCCTGTGCAATGTTGTTAATTTGTTGTAACCTGGATTCTACAGTGAAGTGATCAAAGTAGAAATGAGGACATTTCTCTGGTGGGAGGGGGAAGAATGTAAGCTTATGTTCAATTATTAATTATTTTCATTTTGTATTTGAGCATTATGTTTTGTGTTACAGTTACCTAGGTTATATTCCGTTTAATAATTGCTTAAAAAAAGTTGATGTTGATGTTATCTGATTGGTTCAGGAAACCAGGAAGTGTTTGGTGTTTCCGGGAAGGAGGTGTGTTCTTGTTCGTTCGTTCGGAGGTGCAGCCGTTGGGGGAAAATAAAAACTGCCTTCAAAGGATTCCATCTCTCCTTTTGCCCATTTTTAAAGTAGAGCTATCCACAGAAAAACTACGAACCTCTCAACTTACATATTTTTCACCAAGTCCAATTAGTTGCCAGGCAGAATTTATAGTGTGACCGGGGTGGGGAGGGGGGGGGGCGGCGCATGCCAGCCATGCTCGGATTGGGGATTACAGATAACCGCCACGTTTTCCCAAACACATTCTCCGTTCCTCGAGGCTATCGTGCATGAAATCTGAACGGCGTGACTCAACCTCACGCAGGGGGCGCGCATCCATCAATGCGTCGTATTCGTTCGTGATTAAAAGTTGGACTGCTTGGCCTCATCCACACTACTCGGCGCCACTTTAGTGTTGAGAAGATAAAACGCGGGCGGTTGTACGCCGCATTCAAGGACATTTAAGGTCTGAGCATTTTCAGCCGGCTAAGAGTTGTACTGACCACTCTGGCATGACAGCATTCAGGTAATGAGCTTCTGGGGGATGATAGAACTTGATGACTTGTTGAAGGGTGTATAATTTGATGTAGTGGTACTTAAAAAGTGCTGCTAATTTTGTGTAGGACAGCGCAGGGGAGCTTTAACTTCATGACATGATTACCGCTCTTACATTTTCTGCTAGAATGAGAGGACATGTTGAGAAAAAAAAAACAACAAAAAAAAAAAAAAAACATGAACAGCTTCACATATTTGCCAAAGTACCGTTCCCACTTTATTTTGGTAAAAGTGGACCTCGGTTTGCTGCCTGAGTGCCCACACCCTCAAGAATCATCACCTAAATGTAGTTGAATGATCAAATAAATGCAGCCGTGAACAAAAAGAAACTGTATTTGAGGCTCACCTGTAATTGAGAGTCGAGGGAATACTTGCAACAGCATCCCGACATGATTGATTTCACGTCAAATTATGATGCACTGCATTGTGGGTGAAATTGGAACTCTGTTAAAGGTCAATGAGTGAACTTGTGAATTACAAGTCGGATGTCAATATTTTGCTTTTCGGAAAGCAGGCAAAAAAAAAAAAAATGTAATCAGATAAGGCCCTCTCTGCAAAAGACACATTATTTCCTCTTTCTAAGCCGAGACAAAAACATCGGCCCCCAGGTTTTACAAGGCTGGGGAACCACAAGGATGCCCAGACGGCGGTCATATGAGGACACGCGGCCACGCTCTGGCCGCGCGGATCGGGTGTTAGGTACCAGTCCGCGGTGAGCGGGGCTAAATGTGAAGTAGCTCGATAAGGGAAGAGCAATCTCCTCCCAGAGGTCCTCGGGTTCAGCTTCAGGACAGTCTTTGAGCACGGCCTCAACCACGGCAAAGTTCTCCGAGCTGGACATGGTGCATGTTGAATAGACCACGATGCCCCCCGGACGCACCGCTGACAGCGCAGAGCTGCGGGGAGAAGATCGACAGCGCACTTCAAGACAAATAGTCTGACAGCAAACTTTTTTTGATAACGTTTTTATCCGACGCTTACCAACCGTAGCGTCACGTACGTCTCGCGGGAGGGCGATACGAGTGACAACAAAGGTTCATTTTCTCTCATTGTGGTTTGTCGCGGTGCGATTGCCACGCATCGGGCTGAGAGCGGTTTTGGAATATTCTCACTCGTGTGGATGAATATTTAAAAAACCCTCAGTATGATGCAGTGCCGCAAAATTCAACTTCAATAATAAACACATTACGTTAAATTATTACCTCTCTGACGTGTTTCTAATTATTTTTATTAACCTCGTGGCCAGTGATTACAATTGAGTGACTCGAATGTGATTTCACTCAGTTACTCAGCCACCCCCCTCACCCAAAAAATAAATAAATAAAACCGTCCTCCTTCCTATGGGATTCCCATGCACACAGGAAAATGATTTGTCATTCGGACCGAAACAAGCCAAGTAGTTGGAAAAGTACAACTCTTGTCTGGGAAATCAAACGTTAGAAGACTCGGGAGACGTCCCCGACTTGCCGTAGAAGTTGGACCTGGAGCCGCGGCAGCCTGCCTCTCTCTTTTAACCTCTGTTCCACCTGCTGGCCAGCAGACGAGAACAGCCAGCTCCTGTCATTGGAGCAAGGAGCGTCAACCAGGACCTGTCACACACACGGCGACATATGCAAGTGAGATGTTGTTCATGCTCTGCTGCTAATCCAGCTTTTCCATTGCTTTGCCCCAAGCCGATCTCCGCTTCCAGACATGAAAACAGATGACACCCAATCGGAACCCACCCAGCGCATTTCTCCTGCGCTTGCTTCCCGCTCCCGCCTCCTTTTTTTTTTTTTTTTGTTTAAACTCGGATCCGTATCCTCAGTAAATGCAATCGCATGCAACATTTTCATGATACAAGACCTCTGCAATCAATATACCTGTGAAATAGAATATGGTCCAATTCAGGAACCAAAGAAAAATAAAGCAAAGTAGTTTCCGGTGACACTTTTGAGAGAGGTAATCAATTCACAGTTTTTATTACTGTGGTTGTACTTTGTGTGGGTTTAAAAGTGGAGCTTATTGTCTAAGAATGTCTCCTGAGTTCAATACAAAATTAAAATGAAGCTAATTAAGGTTGTGAAAAGATCAGAATACAATAATAATAACACTAATGCTCTCTTTGCATGTTAGGTCTGATCCTCCGTGTGCCGTGGAGCAAAAATATGGAGCCGAGTGAAAATTGAATTCTGAATTGACCTTGACAAGACACATGAGCACTATCAAATGAAAAAACAAAAACAGTAAATGCTAAAAGACTACATCTGATCTTAATTATTTGTCTCACTGTACAAATCGTTGTCATTTGTTTAACTGACTTGAAGGTTGGTGGCTATTATTTGTCTCGAACAATCTACTGTACTTGTGCAATCACAACGGCAGCACTTTGCTTACTTTGTCATATATCTCCGCCTCACTTTGCCCAAAGGACCGTCCATCTTGGGCCGAGACCGCCACTCGGCTGCTCAATGAGCGCGGCAGGAAAGACTCCAAGGTTTTAGTCAGCCGGTCGCGTCTGTGACGATCGGGTTCATTACAGCAAAGGAAGGCTGTGAAGCAATTAGAGGAAAAAAATTATGAATGTGGAAATTTGGTAGGAATTTATTTTATTTATTTTTTCACTTTTTGAATGAAGCTACTTCGATTAATGCCCGTTGCCGCAACATTCTCATTTTCTGAGGCACAGCACAACTGTATATATTGCACGTCATGGAAAATGTAACCCTCACATTTCTGATGTTTTTTCTTTGGTGGGCCTTTCCTTAAGTGAACAAACTGTGCTGCACTAGAGTCGCGTCGCTCCGTTTGAGGATTAATTCTTTAAAAGGCTGCTTTAGTAAAAGCAGAGTCACCTGGGGTAGCGCACTGCATTATAGCAAAAGCTTTGCCCCCGGGAGCAGCGCAAAGATCCAAAACCTTCTCTCCGTCTTGGACCTGCAGAGCGAGCACCGGGAGCAAGGAAGCGGCGTTGAGGAGGTAGTACTGCTTCAGCTGGCCGGGCCTGTGAGCCTGCGATGGAAAACGCAGCGGAAAGTGGTGGATGTAACACTGCAGTGGCGAGGAGGGCGGACCCGAGCGAGCTTCTGATTGAGCCTGCTGAATGGGAGCTCGAGAACCATTGTCAAGCCGGAGATGCGAGTTATCACTTGGAAACTTGGAGAGAGACCCTTTGGCTGTTTGGCAGTCAGCATCGAACACAGTGCGCAAAGCACCAGGCAATGTCAGGGCTTCTTTCTGAGGCAGTAGGGTGGAAAAGCCTTTTGACAAGAGGACACGCTTGACGTCTGTCGCGACGGTAAAGCGGTTGAGCAAAACCCCGTACTGCCAAGAGGGAGGGTCGAGCAGCACAGATCTGTCAAACAGAAACCGTAGCAGTAAGCAAACATTAAAGGCAATAAAAACAGCGCATTAATATCAACAACTATACTAACCTCACAGATGCCCACAAATCCCCGAGCTCTTCGCTGTACTGATGGTCAAAATGCTCCAAAATGAGCTGGCATGAGGATCGTTCTTTTTTACTTGTTCTGATTACCTGTTGCGAAGAGAATGCCAAGAATTTCTTATTTAGGTGCACTCGACAAGCAGCATTTTATACAAGGAAAGCACTCCGGATGTTTGTACAGGGATGAGTCATCCATCCTCGGAACCTGATTTGATTCCCAAACAGGAGGAGACAAATAAATAATTTGACATTCTCAAGCACAGTAAATTGTTTTTTGGGATTTAATTTCTTTGCCTAAACTGACTGGACAGCGGACAATGCATTATTATGCAAGCGTCTTCTCGTGCTGACATTCTCAAAGTTTGGAACTAGTACCACGAGTGGTCAGCGGGCGCCCTCTAGCGGTATGTAAAAGATTCTCTGCCGAAGTAGTATCTGCATTTAATCTTGATAAGGATATATTTTAATAAAAAGCCATCTATCTATTTTATAATCCACTTATCCTCACCAGCTGTCTTCGGACAATAGGGGGGGGGGGGGGTTCACCCTGAACTGCTTGCCAGCCAAACGCAAGGCACACTTAGAGGAGCAACCATTTGTGCTCTCAGTCACAACGAGGGACAATTTAAAGTTTTCCATTAACTGTGGATACTGTTACAGCGGCTTACAGTTACATTATATGTACTTTTTAGAAATAAAGCCTCTCATGCTTTTTTTTAATGAAAACGTTGGTCTCCAACACCACATTTTAATGTTGATCATGATAAAGGCTGTCAAATAGTTTGTGTAAAATGTTTGAGAACCACAGACCTAAAGAACTTATAAAAATGACTTTTGTCAAAAATCTTAGCAACGATAGAAATATTTGTAACAATTTTGTGTGTGATAGAGTGCACTTCCAACAAAAACAAATGTGTGCCATGTGTCAAACATGATACGATTAAGTACCTGGTGGATTGGCAGGTCTGCCAATCACCAGCAATCATTTTCTGTCTTATTTATCTGTGTATTTATTTATTTTGTTTTCTCCACTTGGAATATTTCTCCATTTTTTACCGAGCTATTGCTTATGTCAGTACGTTTTACGCTTACAGTTGTTAAGGTGTAATGCAGTGGCGACATCTGCTGGACAAAATTTGAAGCATAGGATGCAGAAAACGCACGTGTTTTGAAAAACTATTTTGTGATCACGCTTACACGCTTGAAATTCACAAATGTGTTCTTCTCTGTTGTATGTATGGCGTAATAAATGAGTAGTGAGTACCAACCGTCGGCTCGTCAAATAATAACTGCGACACGTGTAGAGAGACGATAAGCATCTCCAGGAACACACTAGAAGTCACGGTGATTTGTTTACCTGGGGGCTGGAAGCTTGTTTTGTCTTATTGTGTTTTCGAACAACATCGCGGTCAGCTGACGAACACAGAACCCTGGGCGTTAGAATCCCACTTCTGTCGTGTAAAATCCTCCGTAGGTACGCTGGATACGGAAACATTTGATTCCTCCATGAAGACCCCAGAAACTCTAAGGGTAAATTTAAACAAGACAGTTTTATATTAACCACCGGAAATGTCACCGTTTCTTATTCTACTCCAAAAGTTGACTGTCAGTGTGCCCTTTTACAGTGGACAGCGTCACCACGTGGACTGGATAATAAAGTGGCGCAACTCACACTGTCACGAGCAAGTACTGTATAACAGTACGGTACAAGTACACGCACACGCACACAGAAAGTACAACAAAAAGTGGTCCACATTCGTCCGAAAATCCACGACCCAAATGAGGACAGCCAGTAAAGAAAATGGTTGGATGAAATTGTTTGATGAATTCCAATTTTGCATAAATACAGGACTACGATTCAAAATTAGATTCATCAATAGACTATTAATATTCATGTGATGTCTGCCTCATTAATTTGGCCGTCTGTTATATATTTGGTTCATTTAAATGTATTTATTAATTTTATTATTCTTTTATCTTATATACAATTGGTTTATTGATGTTTTTGTAAATGAAATCATTAAAAGTCAAATAAACAAGTTGCATATTTACCCATTGTTAATTTATTGTATTAAATGTTTGATTGGACTCAAATATATGTAACCCAATTAAAATGAGAATACGTTATTTCATCAAAATTATTTATTGTTCATATTCTACTGAGACCAAACCGTGTCAAAATTGGCAAAGATTTCGATGTTTTATGGTGATTTTATTAGAGCCAAAAACAAGAAATTCCCGGTTCAAGATGTTGGCTAAAGTTGCATGCGCTGAACCTGCCTGATATTCACTTGTGGTTTCTCAATCGGTTGTCAACCGCTTCTTGAATGGGGCTTGTTGACACGCATGCGCACACGCAAGAGAACGCCAATAACACCGAAAGTAGATAACTGGCATTTTTCTTCTTATTATTATTATTGGTTGCGTGTATTTTTATACTATTGACAGATTATTAAATAAAGAATTATTAAAGACACACGCGCACGCTCACAAACCGGAAGTCAACCCTAAAGGGACATTGCGCATGTGCAGTCCTCTCGCGCTTTCGACCTCCACTCGTCACTGGTAAGGGCTAATCTCTCCTGTTACACCGCGTTTTTAATTACTCTTTAAAAAGTACGTGTCGCCTCTGCGCTATGTATTAATTTCAAACAAGCGACATTGTTCAGTTGTGTTCCACTAGCTTGTTGTTGGCAGCCACACCATTCCGACTGCACCCTACGCTGACCTTACTCGTGTGTGCCCGTTCTGCACTTAGATTTACTGTATATCCCGTTGCAAGTTACCTTCGCTGTCTCAAGAATGTGCACCTTGAGATGCTTTCAATGGATTTCGTTTGTCTTTGCGCAGATCTTAATTACCTCCAGCTCCAGTGCTTGACCCGACGAGGACGTCCTGTCGTGATGTATGCCTGTGCTAAGTTCGTCTCAACGCCCTCTCTGGTGAGGCTCGACAAAGTGGATGGAAATGACAACGTGTACGCGTGAATGTGTCATTTTTAGGAGCAAATCCATTAGTTTGATGTTGTTAGCATTTGCTCGAACAACTTGCTGGGGTCTGTCAATGACCCTTTGCAAAAAAGTTAGCCTGTGTGAAAAAGAACGAGAAAGACTGACCAGCTATCAAAACAACAGATTTTTTTTTCTCAAGAGGGCGTATTTGATTTTTAAAACGAGGAGTCTAAAACGCTCTCTGTAAAAAAAAAAAAAAAAAAAAAAGCTTAACATCACTTCATATCTGAAAACCCTGATCAGTCATCACTAAAATTCATGTGCACATCACTACTTTAGTCAGACTTGTTGCGCAACTCACAGGTTTAATGCGAAGACAATTATGAAGGCTTCTATTAGCTGAGTCATGATTTTACTTGACCACTGATTTAATAAACCATACCATTTTTGCTCCCCCTTTATGTAGGTCCGTGCGGGATCTCAGGCTCTGTACAGGCCACTGTCTGCAGCTGTAGTGTCAGATGCCAAGAGGGCAGAGGTGAGCAGCAGCCAAGATGGAAAGTTTGTTGGGTCAATGTCATGTCTATCAGATGGAACTTGGTGTATAAAATTCAATGTAACAGCATTGGTGCAATTTCCAAGACTGAACCCTAGTAACAACATAACATTGTGTGTGTGTGTGTGTGTGTGTGTGTGTGTGTGTGTGTGTGTGTGTGTGTGTGTGTGTGGGCGTGTGGGTGGGCGTGTGGGTGGGCGTGTGGGTGTGTGTCTTCGAATTATGGAAAAACCTGCTAACAGGATAAGAATGGATTTTAGCAAACACAAATGACACTTGTTTTGTATTTTTGAAAGATTACATTTGTCATCATTTCTGCTATGCGTGTGTCTATTATCTTCAAGACCGCCGCACTCCTCCTACCCCGGGGAAACGCCGCTTCCCAGCAGCAGGTGGCACTGCGTGGATTTCAGACCAGCGCTGTGAGCCGTGACATCGACACTGCTGCCAAGTTCATTGGAGCTGGAGCTGCCACTGTGGGAGTGGCTGGATCTGGAGCAGGGATTGGGACAGTGTTCGGTAGCCTCATCATTGGCTATGCCAGGTAAACCATCTTCATTTATAGGTTGGTGTGTAAATAAAAACGAGGGATGTTTTTTTTTTTCCATATCCTTCATATATGAATGCTGTTTACTTTTTTCCACAGAAACCCTTCTCTGAAGCAGCAGCTGTTCTCCTACGCCATCCTGGGCTTTGCTCTTTCCGAAGCCATGGGTCTCTTCTGTCTGATGGTTGCGTTTCTCATTCTGTTTGCCATGTAACCCATTTCAAGCAATCTACAACCAGGGACGTGTCACAATGTTACCAAGAATGAGCAGTCTGCATTTTCATTAATGGTACAAGAACACAATCATGGTGCTTAGTCCTCATTGGCTGTAATACTTGTGAACAATTGGCAAAGCAACCATTTGTAATGGTGTTTGCTATTACATTGTATATTTAGTCAAATGTTTTTTTTTTGTTAAATATCTCATAAAAGAAAACATTAAATCTGTGAACACTGTGTGGGCATTTTAATTGCTGTGTTGTGAGAAATTTCAAGAACTGAGAATAGATGTCACCCTCAACTTGGAAATCCTGTTTTCTTGTGGCAAGAAGAAAGAATAATTTTAACAGTAAAAATTATGTGGGGGGGGGGCATGTCCGACAACTGGTCAGCACGTCTGCCTCGCAGTGCAGAGGTCCGCGGCTCGATTCCAGGCTCTGGCCTTCCTGTGTGGAGTTGACATGTTCTCCCTGTGCCTGTGGGTTTTCTCCGGGCACTCCGGTTTCCTTCCACTTTCCAAAAAACATGCATGGTATGTTGTTAATAAAACACTCTACACCCACAAACACATTTAGGGGAAGATTTAAATGGTTGTTGTTTGTCTGTGTGTGCCCTGTGATTGCCTACTGCTGAAGACAGCTGTGATAGGCTTCAGCATGCCCGCGACCCTCGTAAGGATGAGCGGCATGAATGGATGGATGGATTATATTGGGAACGTGTAACTTGCAAATTGCAGTGGTGGCCAGGCAGGTATAGGGAAAAAAAATTCCGAGGTTGATTGTGAAATGTGATTAGTTTAATCTTCTATATAAATAAAGTTTGATAGTTAAAGCAGTCCTTCTCAAATAGTGGGGGCGCGTGTGACTCTGGGGAACATGCTTTTTTGCTGCAGAGAATAGCGTATACAGTACTTGCACATCTACGACAGCAGTTGGCAGTGGCGCCCTCATTGTCAGCGACTGCGCAGGGAGTACGGTATTAGCTCTACAGCAGTGGTTCTGAACCTGGGTTCGATCGAACTCCAGAGGTTCGGTGAATTGGTCTCTGGGGTTCGACGGAGCCTCTGCCATGGAGGTTAAGACATACCCGACTCAAGATGTCAATTAGTTATGACACGCCCGCTTGTCCATCACTGGCTTCAGATGATCACATGACATTGGTTGTCCAATCAGTGTTGCAGGAAATTAGGTTCGCTCAGTCGTCACAGTGTGACTGTCGTAATAGTACGTCATACAATTAAAAAAACTATACTTATGCCATGTAATTTTATTTACTTTTTTCTGTTTTTAATAAATGTGGTCTTGAATTTGTAAAAAAAATCACATTTTAATTTTTCACGAATGAAGGGTTCGGTGAACGCGCATATGAACTGGTTTGGTTCGGTACCTCGAACAAGGTTAAGAACCACTGCTCTACGGTGTAGTTTTTAGTTTTTTTTTTCAACGAGCAGTCGATACGAAGTGCATTAAATAAACCCTCAAGACACTACATGAAAACTAAGGCGGAGAGAGACGAAGATAATGACACAAAAGAAAGTCATACCTCGGTTTTTGACCATAATCCGTTCCTGAAGGCTGATCGAAATCCGAAACTATTTTATGATTTGATTAGGGGCTAATACACTATGCAGAAATAACATAAAAACAGTCAGATTTGCGTAAATCACAAGAAGCACGTCTGCTCATAAAGAACGTTACACTACACGGGGACGCGTCACTTCCTCGTATAAGGAAGCCGAGAGGAGTCAAGTGGCGTTTTCGGGTTTCCTCAAATTGGGCGAACCGGTTTTCGGTCGTAATGCGAGGAATTTTGTGGTCTAAAACCAATTTGGTCGAGAACAGAGAAGTTCTAAAACCGAGGTATGACTGACGAAGCATGTGTAGGGTTTGGCTTCACTGTGACTACAATGGGAGATGAGAAAAGACCGGTGTGTTAACTCTTATTGTCAGTGTAGTTGTAGATTGGCCTTCACTCCTTCTTCTGCAAAACTCTGTGCAGTTTATGATAGGTCATGGCAGCAAACGGAGTGAAATCTGATTGGATGGGGAAAATTTAAATCCGACGTTCAGTAGTGCAAACAGCGAAATGGCGCAAAATCCAGATTCTCTGACCGTTGTGTCACGTCTGTACGTTCCTTTGGTGTACTCCGTTCCACCTTTTCGTGCATGCCTGCTCCGCCCAGACTGTCTCTTCCCGCACCTGCGCCTCATTTGCCCTGATTGCCGCGGGTACTTAAAGTGCCTCGAGTCGCTCGCTTTCTTGGTAACTTTGTTCGCTGCGCTTTGTTGTTACGTCGCTGATTCCAAGTAAGTCGTTTGTTTTTAATCTACTTTTGCCTCGCGTCTTTCGGTATTGTTACCTTTGTTGCTTGCCTATACTGTACTGCCAAATCGCCAATCGAACCCCGGCAGTTTTTTGGGGAATTGTCATTTTGTGTTCGGCTCTTGCATTTGGGTCGTGCTCCTTGCATTGTTCATAATCGAACGAACTAAACAAAATATGGACACAGCGAGCACCGTTGGGTGGACATGCGACTGTTCTGATTTTGGTGTGTCAATGAATTATAAAATGCGTCCACGTATCAACTGCAATGTGCTCACGCACGTTGCTCCTTTCGTGTTTGGTACACTGTGTGAGTGGTCATTGGACGCACCTTGAGTAAACTGTGCAGCGCGAGCGAATTGTTTTTGTTTTGCTTGCAAAACTGTTTTGTAAACTAAAAAGTGTACTTGAAATGACAACAAGAAAGCGCTGTTTTCATTCAATGTGTGCGCGCTCCCGCGGCAGGGGATGTAT